CTTACAAGGTTTTACTCTCTGGATTACTCCCAGTGCCACGTGCTAGCAAGCATCCAAAGAAAGCAAATCAACAGGTACAAAGGAAGCAAATCAACGAGGCCCTGCCGATATCCTCTGGCTATATGCACAGACTGCACTTTTGACCCCAAATGCATCTTTACTCTTTCCCTTGATGTACTTAATATCTTGAGATTCTTCCAAACTTATGATGTTTGTCTCTTTAATTTCATGTTTAATACGTTCCCCAACATAGCCAGTACAGTTTGAAGGTTTATATACAACCCCCCCACTATTATTTTCTGCTCCCTTTGTGCTTGAGCTCTACACATACAGATTCCACTTCACCAGACCCAATATCTTTCCTCACTACTGCATTAATGTCCTCTTTAACCAGCATTGCTACCCCACCTCCTTTTTCTCTCTGTCCTTCCTAAAAACTGAATCCCCCGGATATTCAGTTCCCATCCCTGGTCATCCCTCAGCCACATCCCCATGATCCCAAACTATACCGTATCCATTTAATCTAATAGCATGACTAATTCATCCACTTCATTGCACATGTTTCCACACATTAAGGCAAGGCCTTAAGTCTTTTCTTCCTAACATTTTTAGTTTTTCTTTTAGGTTCCTGAAGTATTGATGGATTTATTTAAGTGATCAGAAAAACTAAAGCTGAAAAAATCTGATCTGATAAAAGCACAAATTAAATGAATGAAAAAGATTCTTAGTATTGAAGCTCTTTAAGGGGATCCTGCCCCATGCTGACAGCTGCAGTGAATTCTATACCATTTCTCATCTCGAGGAAACCTGACAATTGGAAAGCACTTCAATTTATATGGTACACTTGCTCATCTCCAAAGAATTTTTCAGGCACTAAAATTGTATTTTGGATGGATAGTAATTGTTAACGTGTGGAAATGCCACAGCCAACTTGCTTTTTAAAGCAAGATATTCCAAACATTGTGGTATTAAATTGAGGAAAGAAATTTTTCTAGGATGTTTGCTCTTGCTCTTCTTGGAATAGTATGTTTTCTCATTTGGATGATGTTATGAACCAATGGGATAATCTGCTGGAAATCAAAGCCTATTCCTGGAGTCATAATGTGAAAATTTGATTCAACTTCTCAAATGCCCTATTTTACTCACCTGTCCTATTCAGATGAAAACAATATGCACACCAAATTCTTTCGATAACAAGAAATAACTTTGTCAAACTTTTAAAAAAAGCAGTCAAGTAGATAAGTTGAATTGCCAGTCTAAAACTAATATTGAGAAGGGTAGAGTTTACATCGTGTCTCATCTTTGTCTGGGAATTTTGTGTGGGGAAGGAAACACGTCAGAGAAGCTTATGTCTGGAATCAGTCCTTATATACAATCAATATGTTGTTTTCCTTTGACATCTTTGGACTCTCGGCTGATAACATGAGATTGTGGATGCACTAATTGTCAGTCTATAACTCACACTGGTTCAGGATTTGCTCTCAGTGTCTCTGCAAGTTCTGGTTTGAAAAGATTCAGACAGAATAACTGAGAGAAAATACGTGAGGGGTGGTAGCTGGCCAGTAAGGATTCTCTTTACTTCTTCAAAAAGAAAAAAGTGATGCTTTTTTGTCACAGGCTGAATGTTTCTGCTGTATTGTCCAGACAAGAGGTTAAGATGTGAACAAAATTTAGAAGGGAAATGCAAAATAAGTTTGAACATATGTCTTATGTCTGTGGACCTTAGTCCAACTGGCTAGAGCAATAATTCAGACTGTACTTGCTCAGCTATTCAGGAATATAAATGCCTCAAAGGATTGATTAGTTTTTATTAATCACAGGGGGGTGAGAATGTCATCACTGTACTGAGAAGGATACTCCTTCAAAAGCTCTACCTTGGGTTATAGCCTGAAAATTGACAGAACAAACCAAGTCTAGAAGCATAACCACTATGCTTCCATACACATAACAGACTGCATTTTAGGTAATTTCTAATTAACCTGCTTGGATATTTTTACACATCTCTGGAGCTGGTGGAACTTGAATCCAGACCTCTTGGCTCAGAGGCAGGGACACTACCACACCATATGAGCCCTCAACTGCCATTTTAAATGCAACAGTTCTTTATTTAGCTATGGAGTTCAATGGACATGAACAACAGCTTTGTTATTTGATGTAAGCTGGAAGCAATAATACAACTAGTTTTCTGTCAAAATGGCAGAGATCCTAAGGTATTGCAAGTCTGCAATTACCAGTGAAAAGGATATTCCTTCACTGTCCCAAAATGCATAAATAGGAATGTAATATTTTTCCAAATTTTATAGTGTCTCAGGATAAACCCAAGCAAAGCAATGGAAGTATTTTTGAAGTGCAGTCACACTAGTATAACATATGGTGTCATTATGCATTTGGACCACCAGGATGAATATTGTTAATTCAATGTTACCAAAAATAGAGACAACACTTCAGTCAAGTTCCCAAATATCTTTGTACTCTACCACCATCGTCTTCCTTTGTAAGAAAAAAGGTACACAACCGTAGACCATGAAGACAGTAAAGCAAAATGTTTAATTGCTTTTGCCTTTCTACCTATTACCAATTCCAAGTGTCAAAACTTTGCTGAACAGGTTCATGTATATTGGGTATTAGGGTCCTCTTTAAAACTGAACTTCTTGCAGTATCTTATGTATAACCTAAGCGTTACAATAACTAGTTTTTTGCAAATAGAAACAAACATATCTTTAGTATATGAAAACAAAAGAGAGGTTAAAAGAATCACTAAGGACATAGATCACAAACATTTATGAGGCACCACATCACACTATTCACAATGCAATGTAGTTTTTGCTCTTAAAAGGGATAAAAACTAATCTTCAAATGGAGATGAGCAAGGGGACAATGGGCATCCTGGCATTATGAGCTGTCACTTATGGTCATTGGCCAATAGGGTTTAGAGAAGTGATTGACACAACAAAGATGGCCAACCTCCAAAATAAGTACCTCAACAGGGATAAGTGGGATAAGACAGGATCAAAGGAAACAAGCCACCATCTTTCGAGAAGACTAGGAGTTTCCCTACATCAGGCGAAGGGAAGAATAAGGACTGTTACCACTAAAAATTGCACATCATCAGGACAGAACACTCCATTACTTCAAAACCACCATTCCTGCTCCTCCATTTTACAGAACAGCTTTAGGTTTTAGTGATATGTTCACAACCATCACGGGTCATATATTTATTTTCTTTGCCAACTTAACTGATGTATCATATCTAAGCTGCTGCTACTTAAACTCAATGAACTAATCAGAAGATTGGCTGTCTGGCAGAAAGCAGAGAGTGGGGTTAAAAGGGTCTTTCTCAGGATGGCAGCCAGTGACAAGTGGTGTTCCACAAGGGTCAGTGTTGGGACCGCAACTTTGCACTTTGTACATTAATATCTAGATGAAGGAACTGAGGGCATTCTGGCTAAGTTTGCAGAATATACAAATATATTTTGAGGGACAAGTAGTATTGAGGATGTGGGGAGGCTGCAAAAGGATTTAGACAGGTTAGGAGAGTGGGCAAAGAAGTGACAGATGGAATACAACCTGGGAAAGCGTGAGGTCATGCACTTTGGTAAGAAGAATAGAAGCATGGACTATTTCTAAATGGGGAGAAAATTCAAAAGTCTTGGGAGTTCTCGTCCAGGATTCTCTCAAGGTAAACTTGCAGGTTGAGTCAGTAGTTAGGAAGGCAAATACAACTTTGGCATTTATTTTGAGAGGACTTGAATATAAAAGCAGGGATGTACTTCTGAGGCTCTACAAGCCTATAACATCAGGCCACATTTGGAGTATTGTGTGCAGTTTTGGGCCCCATATCTCAGGAAAGATGTACTGGCCCTGGAGCGGGTTCAGAGGAGGTTCACGAGAATGCTCCCAAGAATGAAAAGCTTAACATATGAGCAAGATTTGAGGACTCATCCTTCTAAACTCCATCGAGTATAGACCCAGAGGGGGAATCTAATTGAAACTTACAGAATACTGAATGGCCTGGACACAGTGGATGTTGGGAAGATGTTTTCATTGGTAGGAGAGTCTAGGACTCAAGGGCACGGCCTTAGATCAAAGGGAAGACCTTTTAGATTGGAGATAAGGAGAAACTTCTTCAGAGAGTGGTGAATCTATGGAATATACATGCTGACAGAAGGCTGTGGCGGCCAGGTCATTGAGTATATTTAAGACAGAGATAGATAGGTTCTTGATTGTAAAGGGGATTAAGGGTTATGGGGAGAAAGCAGGAGAATGGGGTTGAGAAACTTATCAGCCATGATTGAATGGTGGAGCAGACTCGATGGGCTGAATGGCCTAAAATTTCTGCTCCTATGTCTTATGGTCTTAAAGCTGCAATAAATGAGATTATAATTCCCTAAAATCAACTGTTATGTTTCTACTGAAAGCTGTAAAAAAGCAATGATGGATAATGAATGTAAAGTTTACTGTATGAGTAAAAGAGTAATGTGACATGGAAGAGTATTGACATCACATTTTTTGCAAAACTTTTGGGCAATGAGAAGGAAATAGTAAGTTTGTTTGGAATTAAATAAATTTGCCATTGTGCTCTTAACAAGGAAATATGTGTGAATATAGAAAAAGCGAAGGTTAAAAGTGAGTGAAATATCACCCCATTATCAAATACCTTGTCAACATCTACAAATGTAAGAGATAAGTACAAGGGTACTGCAGGACTGTAAATACCCATGAGCCATACCTTGTGCTTTCTGAATAGATGGGGAAAATACTTGATAACACAGATGGACATTTTGGGCAGTAGTACTTTGTTTTATAGCCTTGGTGACCATTCATGCAAGTATAAACTGAGCATTAGTATGGAGTTGTCACACCAATAGTATTTAGTCATAAGATGAGGAAGCATGACATTTTTTTAAAACCCCATCTTTTCACCAGGTTACAGCGAAGCCTGGGATCAATCTGGTCATCAAACCAATTAAGTGTGCTTTGTAAGTATTTAAAGACAACGTGTTAGTATTCCTTTATTAGGGAAATGGGGGAAAATATGTTGGTAGAATTTTGCCACTATTTTAACTGCACAGAACAGAGAAAACACTTCAAGCATTGATCTAAAAGACAGATGACATTTACATAGGACTCTTAACATGTTCTATGACTTGAAGGAGTAAAAACCAATATGTATGCACAATATTAAATTTGAACAAACAGTGTGTGAAAATGATATTAGATAGTAAACAAAGGTGTGATTTAAATCAAAACCATCAGCGAGTATTGCTGAAAAAAATACATCCTGTCAAAGCATCCATTGGAAATTACTGCAAAGTAGCATGAAACACCTGTCTTTACCTTTGCTCAATCTGAAGATGCCTTACCTTTGAAGGGCAGTCGGAGATGAACTGGGCACTATTAATACACAGAATCCTGATCCTTGCAGACAGAAAGACATGTACAGATATTGCATTTGTTTCAACTTAAAATAGGCAATAGTTATTCTTTGAATCATTCCTCAGGGCACTGCCTTCACAGTTAAACTGACTGATTCAAAATTAAAGCTTAGCAATTAACTGTCATTCAATGAAATGATAGTCTCCATGGCAATGCCTCTACCAATCAGCACTCTTCTCAGACAGTATAAAATGTTGTTTCCTTTATACTGGTATTCTTGTAAAATGTCCTGATAAGTCCATGAAAAAAAAATTTCAGCACTGTTCAAGTTCCATACAACCAGACGATTAAGATGCTCCAAAACTTCACCTTCTCCACCACTATGTAATGGCTATAGTTTCAAGCTGCTTTATTCTTTACATCACCAAAATAAGATACATCAGCATCCTGAAAATATGAAAAGAAGAGTTAGCAAAGGGAGGAGGAAGTCGGGAAATAAAGATGTCACTGTATATGATTGTATGGGTATAAATTCCAGCTAATAGAAATTTGGTTACAGTTATGAACCATTAATATTTAAAATAGAAAATTGGAACACTGTTTTAACCAACAGAACTATACCACAACATTTTGTATATAAAATCATGTTGGAATGTAAAGTTATAAACCAAACAAAGGACAGGTGTAATTATTAACCATAATGCTATGCATTCAGGCTTGCTTCTGACATGCATCAAGAATTCTCTCACAAACACATACGTTAAAGTTATTTACTTCTGTAGGATATGCCATAGTCCTCTAAAGAATAATCCTCAACCCCAGCTATTCTCAGGGGTATTTACTCTCTTGACTGAAGATGCTCAATCCCTTGGTTTTGGTTATATTTCCAATATTTCTGGTTACTTTCTTTTGCAATAAAATAAGCCTACTGGTGTTCTCCTAGCTTCTATTCCTCGAAAGATTCAACCCGAGATCAAGAATAACCAACCTTCCGTGCTGCTAACTATAAAGTTAGTGTTTTACTCTGCTTATGGCAATGTCTGATTGTCATTTATTTTGGTCAATTTCTCTCACAGAGCTGCAAAATGTACACACCAGTACAAAATCCACAAGCAACTCCCAAACAAACAAACCAGAGATGAGCTCATTTCTAAATTCTACCATCTCCATGACAACATAGCCTACCCTGGGCTATCCTTAAACTGACCTGTAAACAAATTATTCCTCATTTATAATTTTTCCAGCAAAATAAACGCCAGTTGTTATACAAGAACATAACTAGAACCAGGAGCAGGCCATTCAGGCCCACAAGCCTGCCTCACCATTCAATAAGATCATGGCGTTTTCCTCCAGGCCTCAACTCTTTTTTCATGCCAGCTCCTCATTGCCCTCAACTTCAATAGTTAACTATTTATCTTCTCTTTAAAACACTTCAGCAATCCAGACTCCACAACTCTGGGATACAGAATTCCAAGCAATTCCTTTGTATCTCAGTTTTAAATGAGTGCCCTTAATTTTGTAACTATGGCCCCAGTCAAGATTTGCCCATTAATGGAAATGTCTTCTCAACATCTAACCTGTCAAGGCCTCTCAGAGTCTTGTCTGTTTCAAAGAATATTACCTGTGCTGCTGTATTGCTAGTTCTTCAGTAACAGCATTATGCCTTTACCTCATTTAAATACTTTACACTTTGTTACATTAAATTCTATCTGCCAGGTTTTTGCCCACTCAGGCTATCTATATCCCTTTCCTGACGCCCTATGTCCGCATCACAACATGCCCTCCCACCTACTTTGTATGGTGAGAAATTCTAGATACACTCACTACACACTGCACACCTCCATGCATACCCCTCAAAGAATTATAGATAATAAATAAAGGCGGCCCCTAGGACAGATCCTGAAAAAGAATCATTAATCCCAATTCTGTCCTGTTTGTGTTAACCAATCCTCAAATGCACACTAATGCATTACCCAATAACATAAGCTTCTATTTTGTACAATAATTTTGCAGCACCTTACTGAATACCATCTGAAAATCCAATATTACACTTACCAGTACCCATTTGTCAACTCTGCTTAATATATCCTCAAAGAATCTAGCAAAAATGTCAAACAATTTCCTTGACACAAAACTACATTGACTATTTGATTGCATTAAGCTATTTGATTAATCTAAATGTCCTCTATTTTTTCCTTAATAATACACTCTAGCATTTTCTAGTGATGGATGCTAGGTTAACTGGCCTATAGTTTACTACTCTGTATCCCTTACTTTTTGAACAGGGTATACATTAGTGGTTTTCCAACCTGCTGGAACCCTCCCAGAATCCAGCGAGTTCTGGAACATATCAACCAATGTCTCCAATTCCCTATAGCCCCTTTGGCCCATTAATTTGTCAAATACTTTATTCTTCTGGATTCAGACCATTACAAGACTTTTCTTCCCATTGGCACCTTGCTCATCTGTCATCTTGGAATATCTTATAGCATACTGCATAGCGGAGGTCAATGCAAAATATTTGTTTACGCTATCTGCCATTTCTCTTTTCCCCTATTAATTCCCCAGCTGCATCCTCCAAGAGTCCCACACTTCCTTCAGCTACTTTTTAACATGAATGTGGAAGCTCTAGCTGTTTGTTTTTATATTTCTTGCCAAATTTACTTTCATAATCAATTTCTCCCCCATTTAGCTTTTACTCATCCCTTGCTGATTCCCAAAGAATTCCAAATCCTCTGACCTACCATGAGTTTCCTACACTCTGTGGGCTATAGTTTTTTGATTTGACTTAACTGCCTTTGTTAACCACAGGGAGGTCATTCTGTGAAATAGCATCAGGAATGCCAATGCCTGACATAAGACTCTGCCAAGTGAGAGAGACAGTTTGATATAGGGGACGAAGTTTGGTGCAAGAAATCATGGAACTGACCCTACATGGGTAAGATGCATAGGTGACCCGAGGTCAGGACCAGTGACATATAAAGTTCAGATAGGTGCGATGGTCCTGAACAAACACATGGACCATATGAAAGCTGCAAATTTGCAAACAGTGTGGGAGCAAAACATGCCCTGTCCCTCGGAACAGGCAGAAAGGCTGCCGAAACCCGTGGGTTCACCCTCTCTGTCAAGTATTGATGAGTGCTCTGAATCAGAGATGGACGTAATGGATGTAGCTGCCTTTGCTGCTGGAAGAAGAAAGTGAAATTCTACCGAGCCGCTCCTGCCTTAAGGGTAACTTGACTGGATATTTCCCGTCCCATGAGTGAAATAAATGCTGGCCCAGCCAGCATATCCATATCTTCTGAGTAAATTCGAAAAATGGAGCTTCTTTGTCCCCTCTGCTGTTCCAAACCTAGGATATATCCATATATGCTAATTGTCTGACTAGGAGTGGGATAAGCCTGAAGTTTGCTCTAAATGATGCACTTGGTAATGCAAGATTAAGTGCAATGAATTCTCTGACATAAAATCAGAAAATAGTGGGAACAAAGCAGGTCAATATCTGTGAAGAGATGAGGTTTATAATCATTTCTTACAATCCTATGTCAGATTTAGTAATCCAAAACCTGAGTGAGGCATGTTCACGGAACATTAGGCACAGACATTACAAGTTGCTTTGTTACACCTACTTAAAGTCAGTCCAGAGCTGCAATACTATGAAGAGTTTGGGTTTCTTATCTATGGAATGATATACTTGCACTGGAGGCAATCCAGCCAAGGCTCACACAGGTATGGATGGACTTATAAGGAGAGGTTTAATAGGTTGGGCCTGTACTGAGTTGAATTTACAAGAATAAGAGACAATCTTATTGAAACATACAAGATTTTAGGGGAATTTACAGGATAGATAGAGAAAAGTTGTTTCTTTTTGTAAGAGTGTGTCTACGACCAGAGGGCACAATCTCAGAATAAAGGGTTGCATATTTAAGAGAGAGGGGGAGGAATTCTGTGGAATTCTTTACTGCAGAAGGCTTTCAAGGCTGGGTCATTATATTCAAAGCTGAGAGACAGATTTGTAATCAGTAAGGGAATCAGAGTTATAGGGAAAAGGGCAAGAAAGTGACTTTGAGGATTATTAGATCAGCCATGATCTTATTGAATGGTGGACAGGCTTGATGGGCTGAATGGTCTACTTCTGCTCCTGTGTTTTACAGTCTTAAACTTTAATATAGACTTCAGGAGAGTAAAGCTTTAGCTCTTGCCAATGTGGATCCCAGCTTTCTTCTTAAGATTCAGGTGGCCCTATTGGGAAGGAATGCACACATCTGAAATCAAATGTAGAAATACTACCTGTGTGAACTACTCAGGCACTCGTATAACAATTAGCTTCCGTTCATGCCAGTCACAAAAATGTAAATCTAAAATTTAGGTTGATGCATCTATGACAGATTGTAAACTTAAAAATAACAAAAATAAGTGTAAAACTGAAGAGACACAAAAAAATCCATGCAATCACATTGTAATCCAGCAAAGACTTCTTCATTCCAATCTCTCTCTGGAGAGAGACAATGTGACAGAATGCGAAAGAGAGAAAGAAAATACTTTTTTACCCAAAGGCAATCAGATCTTGTTTTCATAGTTTAAATGCAATCATATCTTTAATTCAAGATTAATAGCCTTATCCAAGAGTACATTTAAAAGGAGCAGGCAAATTTTGTAGTGCATTATACTGTGTCCAGACAACTGAACTTTTAATAATACAAATCAATGTACAGATTTTTTTTTCCAAAATTGTACTTACCAGTCCACTTTTCAAGTTCTTGACTCTTTTCACAGACATCTTGTTTGCAATTAACCAGGCCAATGTGGGAGCATACTGCCACAAATAAACATAAAGCAGAAGCGGCTGCCCACAAATCCACATTTCCTTTAATTCATTTGCCATACCGACTAGCATCAGCTGGACACAGCGTGTAGTGGACATTTTGTAGGTTTGTGCAGAATTCTCAGGTACAGTCTAAAAGGAAAACAAAATTATAGTACGTTGCAAGCAATCATAATTGTAAATGTAAAATCAAAAAGCAATAATGCAATAGGATTTCCAAATTCAGATTATTTAATCATACTAGTCCAATTTACACCCTGTCCCCAAGAAAGGAGAAAATTCAAATGAGATCAAACTTGGGCACTGTGCCCTCAGTTAAACAAAGAACTAGTTATCATTTATACCTCCAAAAGAAAAACACTTCAATTCACTGTTCCTGTAAATATCAAGATAAAAGGAGAGACTGAAACTTCGGGGTTTCAAGTCCCCCCTCCCCAGCATACTCTTGGCAAATGTCGAAGCCACTGAGAACAAAATATATGAACTTAAAGCTAGAGTCACCTTGCAAATAGAATTGAGGGACTGCTGTGTGCTCTATTTCAGAGACATGGATCATCCCTGCTACACTTGACTGTACCTTACAACCTGAAGGCTTCTCAATTCACCGACTGGACCATTCAGTGCCCTTGGGCAAGGCAAGGGGTGGCAGGTTTGCCTCCTAAATCAACATCTCCTGGTTGCTCAGATGTGGTGACCCTGGCAAATCACTACTCCTCAGATTTAGATTATTTAATAGTGAAATGTCATCCATATGACCAGCCGCACAAGTTCACCTCCACTATCCTGAGAGCAGTCTACATCCTATTTCATGCGGAAGTGAAGAGTGCACTTGATGAAGTATACAATGCTAAAAATAAACAGTCTTGAGCTGAAATACCCAAAGCTTTGTTCATCGTAGCCTGTGACTTCAACCAGGCCAACCTCAAGAATATACTACCAAGATTCCACCAACACGTCCTGTCCCACCAGAGGACCGAAAATTCTTGACCATTGCTACACAACCATAAAAGATGCCTATCCCTCCATTCCCCATCTGCATTATGGAAAAGCAGAACACAAAATTGTGCTCCTCCTCCCGGCTCACAAGCAGAAATTAAAGTGCGAGGATCCAATACAAAAAATAGTGCGGTGTTGGTCTGAGGAAACAGAAGGGCTTCCATGGGATTTCTTAGAGACGGTGAATTGGTCCATATTCAAGAACTCAGCAGCCAACGTAAACGGGTATGCTACTACCGTCACAGACTTCATTAGTCAGTTTGTAGATGACTCCGTGTCGAAGAAGTTATTCTGAACATTCCCCAACCAGATGCCACGGATGAAATGGGAGATCCACTCCCGACTGAAGTCCAGGTATGAGACGTTCAAGTCAGGCAACCCTGACATATGTAGGAAATCCAGGTACAATCTTCACAAAGCCATGACGGATGTCGAAAGGCAATACGAAACGAAACTTAAGACTCTGGTGTCCATGTGGTTAACCTATCATTTGCAGCAAGGCTTACATGATATAACTGCCTACAAAGCGAAGAATTGCAGACAACAGTACATCCCTACCTGATGAGCTTTAAACAGAAGGGCAATGAAACCATATCATCTGTCCCATCCGCCTTGGATGCACCTGTACCCTCAGTTACTGCCTCAGACATTAGATTGGACTTTTTAAGGGTGAACCCATGGAACAATAGCTCGGATGGAGTCCCCGACCATGCACTCAGGTCCTGTACGGATCAGCTGGTGGAGTATTTACAGACATCTTCAACCTTTTCATACTATGATCTGAACTCCCCACCTGTTTCAAGAAGACCACTATCATCCCAGTGCCAAAGAAAAGTCATGCAGCAAGCCTCAATAACTACCACCTGGTGGCTCTGACATCCAGAAACTAGAACAGTTCTGAGGAAGGGTCACAGGACCCGAAACATTAATCCTGATTTCTCTTCACAGATGCTGCCAGACCTGCTGAGCTTTTCCAGCAACTTCTGTTTATGTTTCTGATTTACAGCATTTACAGTTCTTTCCATTTTTATCCATCATTGAGTGTTTTGAGAGGTTAGTCATGGCTCACATCAACTCCAGCCTCCCGGATCATCTTGATCCCTTGCAATTCCGCTACCAGTGCAACAGGTCCACGGCAGACACCATTCCCACAGCCCTACACTTGGACAGGAAGGATATCTACATCAGGCTCCTACTTATTGACTACAGCTCTGCCTTCAACACCATAATTCCAAACAAACTCATCTCCAAACCCCAGGACCTAGATCTCTGCTCCCCCTTCTGTAACTAGATTCTGAACTTCCTGACCAACAGACCACAGTCAGTATGGAATAGGAGACAACCCTTCCTCCATGATAATCCTGAACGACGGTGCCCCGCAAGACTGCGTACTCAGCCCCCTACTAAAATCCTTACACACACGACTGTGCGGCCAAATTCCGCACCAACTGCATTTACAAGTTTGCTAGGACTTTGTAGGTCGGATCTCAAACAATGACGAGACAGAGTACAAGGAGAGAGTACTTAATGGCAAGGTGTAAAAACAACAATCCTACCATGAACATCAGCAAAACAAAGGAGCTGGTCATTGGCTTTAGGAAGTGGAGTAGAGGGCACGCCCCTACAGCAACTGCCATACCACGCTCTGATGCATGCAGATATGGATGCACCATAGAAACCGTCCTAAAAATTTTTAAGTCTTTATGGACATGCCAAATTTCCTTAGCCTCCTGGGCAAGTAGAGGCAATGCCGTGCTTTCTTGACTGTAGTGTCCATGTGGATGGACTAGAATAGATTGTTGGCGATCATCACTCCCAGGAACTTGATGCTCTTGACAGTAATAAAAATCAAATCAAATATACTCAGTCTAATATGTTGAACTCTCAGTAATCTTATTAGTGTGACTATTTTAAACATTGTGTGAGTTTCACTTTAAAGAATTGCAACAGTGAATGTATTTTTAGTTTTTACAATAACGTGGAGTGTAAACAACAATTCTTTAAGCAATCTTATTTATATTGCACTGGTAACTCTGGTGATTACCATTCACTGTACCTTATTTATCTCTTCAGTAAATGCATTTTTCACAATATTAGAGTGGACCAGTCCTGGACAAATAGTGCTAATTATAATCCCTGGGTAATCCGCAAGCTCTGGTCGAAGGGAATTAAAAAATCCCTGCAAAGGATGGAGAATTATACATTGGTGTTACAACTGCTATTTTTCAATTCAATAACACCTTTCATCATAAATGGATAAAAACAACTATGAACTGTCACCCAAGAAAGAACGTAGAAAGCAGTAAAATTCAGGCAAGTTACTCAAAACATCTGTCATAAGGAGTTTCTTGAATCCATGAAGAAGGTTATGGCAGGATACTTAGAACATCATGTGATCAGAGAGCTATCACAGCTTTATGAAAGGGAAATCACATTTAATTTATTACTGTATTTGATGAAAGAACATTCACGATACAGAAGCAAAATGATTGTTGTAGGACAGATGTAGGATTTCCAAAAAGCATAAAAAGGTTAAAAAATAAGGCAAGAGTACATGCTGCAGGGGGGAAACATGGATAATAGACTGGTTAGGTAACAGGAAGAACAGAGCAACAATAAATGGATCACTTGACATAAGTTACAGTTTGCCAAAGGAGTGGCATAGGAATAAGTGCTGGGTCCTCAGTCATTTACATCAATGATTTGGATGAGGGGACCAAATGTAAGATAACCACATTTATCAATAGCATCAAGATAGATAGGGAAGTGAGTTGTCAAGAAGGGAGAGGGAGAGACTGTAAAAGGGATATAAACAGATGAAGCATGTGAGCGAAAATTTAGTAAATCACAGAATGTTTACCACATAGAAGGAAGCCATTTCACGTCATCATGTCAGAACTGGCTCTCTGAGCTTTTTGACTTAATGGCAAACTCCTGCCTTTCCCCATAACTCTGCTCATTATTTCTGTTTAAGTAATCATCCAATGCACTTGAGTGCCTCAATTGAACCTGCCTCCATCATATTCCCAGGCAATCTATTCCATACTCCTAGCTACTCACTAGGGAAAAAAAAAAGATTTTCTCACTTCACATTTGATTCTTTTGTAAAAGACTTGGAAACTGTGCCCTCCAGTTCTCTATCCTTTTCCAAGCAGGGTCTGTTCCTCCCTATTTACTCTGTCCGGACCCCACATTATTTTTAAATCTTGCAACTAATCTCCCTTCAGCCTTCAGCCATTGCAAATGGAAACTCTTCATTTCCTATGGCCAATCCACCTAGCCTACACATCCCTAGACACTATTGGCAGTTAATCGTGGCCAATCCATCTATAGAGACTATAAAATCATGATGGCCATGGATGGGGTCAATAGCCATGGTCTTTTTCCAAGGGTGGGGGAGTCCAAAACTAGAGGGCATAGGTTTAAGGTGAGAGGGGCAGAATTTAAAAAGGGACCTGAGGGGCAACTTTTTTTATGCAGAGGGTGGTGCCTGTATGCAGTGAGCTGCCAGCAGCGGTGGAGGAGGTGGGTACAATTATAACATTTAAAAGGCATCTGGAAGTACATGAATAGGAAGGGTTGAGAGAGTTATGGGCCAAATACCGACAAATGGAACTAGATCAGTTTGGCATGGACGAGTTGGACTGAAGGTCTATATAACTCTATGACTCTATTTAAAGCATATGTAAAAGATGCAAGGTCATGAGAGAAAATTCACACAGCGAATAGTTAGGGTTTGAATGCACTGCCTGGAGATATGGTGGAGCCATGTTCAATTGACGACATTGGATGTTCATTTGGATAGAAATGTTGTGCAGGGATATGGGGAAGGTCAGGAGATCAGCATTAGGTAATAGGGCCAGTGCAGGCATGATGGGATAAATAGCCTCCTTCTGTGCTATAACAATTCTGTGAATGTGAAATTACCTACACTTGTTCCTAGGGTCAACATTTGTGATCACATTACATACGATATGCTTAGCAATACATTCAAAACTACCAATGTCATTTTTGCTTGATTTGGAGATTTTCCTATGAATTCTAAGCAGAGAAACAAGACTAACCGTATAACCTGAACCTGCTTTAACGAAAAAAATCACATTCCTCTAAAAATGACTTTGCAGTTCTCTTTAGTAAAACTATAACAGTCATACCACTTTTGTTCATTTTAGTTCTAAGATTTAACATGATGGTTATACATCTCTTTTAAATGTAGTAACTCAACATAGCACAAGAGTTGTAAAAAGGAACCATGTCATCAGAAAATTAACAATGAAGAAAAGGTCAATTAGATAAGTTTGTGACAGCTAAAATAATTACTGAAAGCAGTTATTATTACCTGAAGAGCATGTTTACTACTTGCATAACCTGTAGAAACAGGTGCACCAACAAGACCTGCCAAACTACTGACAGTGACTATTTGTCCTTTCTCTTGCTTGATCATGTAAGGTAACACACATTGAGTCAGTGAGATTGTACCAAGGAAGTTCAGGTGCATTATAGCTTCGTAGACATCAAGGTTGGTGTCCAGGAATAAGGAGCGTTGGGAACGTCCAGCATTGTTGATCAAAATGTCAACCTGCAAAACAAAATCACCAAAGCCAATGGGACATGTCAAACAAGCAAATGAAAAGCTGTGACTATTTCCTGGTTTAACAAATAAAGTTTCCTTGGAGTTTGAGAAGATTTGTAGCTCAGGTTGTGGATGAGGTTGTAGACATTCTCGCTGAGCCGGTGGGTTTGATTGCAAATGTTTTGTCATTCTGCTAGGTAACATCGTCAGTGTGCCTCTGGTGAAATGTCAGTGTTCTGTCCTGCTTGTTATTTATATGCCTCAGTTTGCTGGAGTGGTTGGTATTACTTCCAGTTCTGAACCTTTCCTGAATCAATGAGAATTTTAGAAAATTTAAATCAATGTAACTATCTTACTAGTAACTTGGTTTAAAAGCCTAGGATGACAGCCAGAGTCTAGGGACTTATATCAGCCCACAGTTCCAACAAGTTACTCAGTTCCACTTAAGTTATTTTCCAGAGTTCTCTATCTTTCATTATATAAAAATCACTGCCCCTGGGATGTTACTTGTATCCTCTACACTGGAACTGAATGTAAAATCTCTGTTCAATTCAACTGTTATCTAATTTTTCCATTAGTATTTCTTCAGACTCACTTTCTGTGGGACTAACTCATTTTGTTAACCGTTCTTTAAATATTTATGGAAACCCTTATTGTCCATGTGTGTGTTTCTGGCTAGCTCTTGTGCTAGTTTTTGTTAATGTTTTAAAGCAGAAAACGTTCTGTCCAATGTTGTGACCTATGATGTTCAAGTTTGATGCTACATTGAACCTATCTAGTTAACCACAAAAGGCAGGTCGGCGCCTTGGAATTTTCCTTACTTTTTGGAATGTATCTATTCGGTGCATTCTGACATAGCCCCTTAAAAGTCTTCCACTTCATCTCTACTGACCCATCTGTTAAAACTGATTTTCCAAGAATTATTAGTGCTGCTGAATGGTAAAATCATGGAGGACAGTCAAGTGGTGTTCTCATTTATTTAATTGGAAATATTGAAGAAATCAGAAAAGGGGCAGATTTCATCAAATCATGAGTTTCACCTCTAAACCTTTTTTTGGTTTAAAAAGAGACAGCCTGGTATAATTAACTAGGTTAAAATTTTACATTCGAGGTAATTTCTGAGAGCATTTTCAAAACAAAAAGCACAGTTAAATGATAGCAATTTGCACACAAAGCTTTCCAAACAAAGCTTACTTACTTGACAAGGTCAATGATGTAAACTAGTGCACTAAGTAAATATGCTGAAAGAAATTAGTTATATTCACATTACGTTATTTTTTTCTTTGAAAACTAGCAAGTCTCATGAAAAATGCAAGCTAATTGCTTATGCTGTGCACCATGAACAAAAGGTAATTATAGAATACATACATATTTTTGCAAAAGGAGTGATAAAATTGCTAGATATGACATGTAACTAAAAGGAAACCATAAATAAGTGAAAATGAATGCATCAAAACAAGTAGTATCTGCATGCCGGAATATATTCAGACAGCTTGTAAAATAATTTACTGTTCTTCCATTCTGTTGGTGGCTAACAAAAGAAAGCTAGTTTCATCACTGAAATGCAACCTTTTTTTCCCCATTCTGTTCAATAATTGTTTAAAAGGAACAACAATCATGAAGGACAGATCACATCAGGAGTAAGACACGGTTCAGGGAATTTGGAGGCAACTTGGGAATTTGGTGCAGAGGGGAAGGGGTGCTTTTTGTTCCATGTGCAAAATGGTGTATTTTGCCCTTTACGAGAGCAGGTCAAATGAGAACTTTGGGGAGGCAATCTAACCCGACTGTGGAGCTGAAAGGACACAGAATAAAGTATTCCCTGTTCAAGTTTACCCTCTGTCTACCTCATTCTATTTATGGTTCTATGAACTATATACATAGCTGGTGGCGACAGTGGGATCCAGCCCATAAACTGTGTGCAAACACCTTTTTTTCTGTCAGCTCGAAAATAGGAGACAGAGGGTGATGGTGGAGGGTTGCTTTTCAGACCGGAGGCCTGTGACCAGCAGTGTGCTGCAAGGATTGGTGCTGGGTCCACTGCTTTTCTTTGCCATTTACATAAATGATTTAGATGTGAACATAGGAGGTACGGTTAGTAAGTTTGCAGATGATACCAAAATTGTGGTGCGGCGGACAACCAAGAAGGTTACCTCAGAGTACAACGGGATCTTGATCAGATGAGCTAATGGGCTGAGGACTGGCAGATGGAGTTTAATTTAGATATACGTGAGGTGCTGCATTTTGGTAAGGCAAATCAAGGCAGGACTTATGCACTTAATGGTAAGGTCCTGGGGAATGTTACCAAATAAAGAGACCTTGGGGTACAGGTTCATAGTTCCTTGAAGATGGAGTCACAGGTAGACAGGATAGTGATGAACACGTTTGGTATGCTTGCCTTTAATGATCAGTGCATTGAGTATACAAGTTGGGAGGTCATGTTGTGGCTGTACAGGACATTGGTTAGGCCACTTCTAGAATACTGCGTTCAATTCTGGTCTCTCTGCTATAGGAAGGGTGTTGTTAAACTTGAAAGGGCTCAGAAAAGATTGACAAGGATGTTACCTGGGTTGGTGGGTTTGAACTATAGGGAGGGGCTAAATAGGCTGGGGCTATTGTCGGAGGTTGAGGGGTAACCTTATAGAGGTTTATAAAATCATGAGGAGCATGGAAGGGTAAATAGCCAAGGTCTTTTTCCCAGGGTAGGGGAGTCCAAAACTAGAGGGCATAGGTTTAAAGGTGAAAGGGGAAAGATTTAAGAGGGACCTAAGGGACAATTTTTTCACACAACGAGTGGTGCGTGTATGGAATGAACTGCCAGAGGTGGTGGTGGAGGCTAGTAGAAAATTACAACATTTAAAACGCATCTAGATAGGTACATTAATAGGAAGGATTTACAGGGATATGGGCAAATGCTGGCAAATGGGACGAGCTTAATTTAGGATATCTGGTCAGCATGAATGAGTAGGACCAAAGGGTCTGTTTCCATGCTGTACATCTCTGTGACTCTATGACATCACCCATTAGGGTGCAGTTGTGAGGGAACTCTGGCTGCAGTTCAAAGGATGAAGAGGGGTGTTCTCACCTGGTAGCTCACTGAAGTCGTCATGGAGAACGGTTGTAAGGGAACTCGGGCTGCAGGCGATATCAGGGAAGAACAGTATGCTAACACAGTAAGTAGGAACTGGCCAGAGCAGAGAGCATTCACCAAGAGACCCAAGGTTGAGATGGCTACTAGACTTGAAGGGCAGGCAAAATTCCCACCAGCAGGAAAACGAAATAATGGTCCAATTTGGTGCAACTGGACCATTTGAAGAAGAAAATGAAAGTTAGATTCTGTACACCGAACATTTTGATGCATACTTAAAGGTGAATTAAGTGGCTGAAGATGTAGTGGTACTGGTTTTCTTGAGTACCATTGGAAGCAAGAACTTCGCGATTCTAATGATCCTGGTGCAACCAAGATCTATGCGAGGTGCTGAGGAGTCATTATGCACCAAAGCCACTGGTGATCATGGAACATTTCCGTTTTTAATAAATGGGTACAGCACTAATGAGAGTTCATTGCCCAATTAATGGCCACATTAAAAATGTTAGTGGAACACTGCAAATTTGGAGGGTTTCTCCAACAAGCCTTGTGGACCATTTGGTTTTTCATAACAAAGAGGGACCTGGATTTCAAGACTGCTACCTTGATGGAGTTGGCTGCAAGCGAAGCAATACAGTTCAGCAATGATGCCTGGGTGCATAAGGTGGCACCCTGGCAGAGTGCAATACCAACTGGAGTTTACCGATGTGCTAAGAGTGGCTACGGGGTCAACATGTTGGACTTGAGAAGCCCAGTGCCACAGATGTAAGCAAGTAGGCCTATTTGCCTAAAGTTGCTAGGTGCAACTCAAGTAAGACAAGGGGTATATCAAAAGGAGACAATTCAGAAGATAAAGCAGAAAGTACATATTGCCAGCCAAGGAGTAGACCAGGGGTCAGCCAGGGCTGAAGGAGAAGCAGAAGGTCCAGAATCAGCAGAGTTTTGGCTAAATATCCTGTTGGTACAGGATGAAGCTAATCATTTAGGCGGCGCGGTGGCTCAGTGGTTAGCATTGCTGCCTCACAGCACCAGGGACCCGGGTTCAATTCCACCCTCGGGCAACTGTGTGGAGTTTGCACGTTCTCCCCGTGTCTGCGTGGGTTTCCTCTGGGTGCTCCGGTTTCCTCCCACACTCCAAAGATGTGCAGGCTAGGTAGATTGGACATGCTAAATTGCCCGTAGCATTCAGAGAGGTGTAGATTAGGTGGGTTATAGCCGGGTGGGTTTGGGTAGGATACTTTGAGGTTCAGTGTGGACTTGTTGGGCCGAAGGGCCTGTTTCCACACTGTAGGGATTCTATGATTTCTGGGGTCTTCCCAAATTAGAGGGGAAGACAGTAAAGATGGAGGTAGATACGGTTGCAGTAATGTCTTGGATACATTTTAAAAAAAGAATAAAGGTTAAGGCAAGGCCATTGAAGTCTGCTAAGATGACACCACAGAAACAAGTGGTGCCACTGCAAGGCTGTGTACAGGTAAAAGTACAGCTAAAGGACCAGTGTTCCCAATTGCCTCTATAAGTAGTAAAAGGCGTCTACCCTGCATTACGACTGGTTAAGAGGAAGAAGGATGCTTATATAAGGTTTAGGAAACAAGGAACGGAAAAGGCTCTAGAGGGATACAAGTTAGCCAGGAAAGAGCTGAAGAAAGGGCTTAGGAGAACTATAAGGGGGCATGAGAAAACTTTGGCAGATAGGATCAAGGAAAACTCCAAGGCTTTTTACACGTACATGAGGAATAAGAGAATGACCAGAGAAAGGGTAGGGCCAATCAAGGATTGTAAAGGGAATTTGTGCACAGAGCCTAAAGAGGTAGGAGAGGTCCTTAAAGAATACTGTTCTTTGGTATTCACAACTGAGAGGAACCTAGTTGTAGAGAAGGACAGTGTGAAACAGGCTGGTAGGCTACAGGAGGTGGAT